ATATATATATATATTTATCAGTCACTCACACACGCACACAAACTATTTAAAAGCTGAATATGTTTCACGGCTCTGCAGCTATAAAATCATGTTGAAAATCTGTTGGCCTGTAAAACTTTCCCAACAGATTGATGTTTTAAAATCTACAGCTTTATAAATTTATAGGTGTTAAAGCTGTGGCTGAATGGTAATGAATGGTAATGAATGGTAATAAATATTATGTCTCTAGATTCATTCTCTTTAAATTAGAACAAATGGTGAATGACTGTTGTAAATATAAAACTAGACACAAATTATTCATGTATCGAAATGTTACTAATGAGCTTTACTGAACCACAGTATATACAGGAGACAAGTTGAAGATGATGCAGGAGACCTGATGGGGACTTGCAAGCAGCAGTAATTGGAGCTACAGGTTAACAAGCTTCACGGAGTCACTTGACCCTGTTTAACACACACACCCACACCGCCACACATGTATTTAAGCGTGCTTACACAGGCGCATGTGTACTCACACAGACACACACACACACAGACAATGAGAAGAATGACAGATGAGGCAAAGGTCAGCCTGAGCTCCAGCTTTATGAGCTCACCACAATTACGGCACTGACAGAGTTGACTAGGAGTGAGCAGCGGAAAATAACCTCCCTTTATGGTCTGCAACACATTAAGAGACACACACACACACATATATACACACACAGACACACTCACACACAAACATTACCTCTGGCTCTCAGCTATCAGGGCCACGTGAATCACAATGTCATTCTCTATGGGGCCCTGTGAAAGAGAAAAACAAAGAGATTTACGTGAAGACTACTTTTGCCTACAGGTTGCGAGTGAATAACCAGACACAAACGTGAAAAAAATGTCCTGTCTGACAAATCCAACTATGAAATACAAATTCAGGGAGAACAGGGACCATCCAGTTAGTCGCTCACATTTTTTTTTAGATATATATGTATTTAGCTTTTAGAACTGCAACAACGGGTCTTCAGAGTTCAGAGGAAATTGTCGGCAAATATTTACACAGACAGTAAATAACTGGATCAAGATTCTTATCACGTTTTAGAATCACTGTTAACATGGACTTCATTGTGTTTTTTTCCATGATATAGTAGAAATTTGTTCTTTACTGTTTGAGATATTTTTAAAATTTACTTTCTGGCATTGCCGAGCCTTGCAATTTAACATCAATCAACAAAGAAGAAAACTGGAAAACTGAGAGGAAAGTGGCTATAATCGAAATTTACCTCAGTTGCATAGAAGAAAAACAATAACCTGTGTTATTGCTACTTCTAATCTCAAACAATTCAACTGAAAAAGAAATAAAAATGATACAGGGGTACCTGTCTGAGAGGAAAGTGCAATGTAATTATGAAGGTTGAGAGCAATGTAAATGGGGGGAAAGGGAGTAAAGATTAGAGAAATGTAATGTTATTACACTAATGTTTTCTCTGCTTAAGTACCCATATGGTGAAATGAAATTACATTAAATGGACACAGTAGTGGAACAGAGGCATTCGATTTTCTCACTGCACAAACACCATCAAGTTTTGTCCCATCCCACATGCAACTGCCTGCTGTAAGACTCACTAATGTACGCAGATGTGAATTAATCCACAGCTGAATCCACAGCACCAGAGTCATAACATCTAACACTAACACATAACACTAACATCTGTGAAAAACTATAATCCAAAGTTTGTTTTAGGAAACATTTTTATGTTAAATATCAAACTGAGGGTTTTGGGGGAATATACATAAAAGAAAAACAAAACATATCCTACAACCACTAATACAAATCAGTTCATCAGCAAAGTTAACAGCATCGTAGTAGTCTTCATCTCCATTATATTAATCCTTTTCATAGACAGCATGAAGATACACACTGCCAACCTGAGCAGAACACAGAAACGTGTCAGTCATGTTGACATCAACAACAATAATAAAAGAAAAAAAGTGACTGAAGAGAC